ATGGAGAGAGTACAAACTGCATCATCACTGTTGTGGGTTAACATAGACTGCAGGTTCAAAACTTACTGAAGAGGGCAGATACAGAGGCCAGAGGTTTCATCTAGGTGCTATTCCTGAAGGAAATGAAAAGCTCATAGCAGTGTTGAGTTAGGAGTTGGAGTACCTGAAGCTGAGGAGCTTAGAGTCATGGCAGGACTGTAAGAGAGAGCAGCTCACATCAGATTGGAAAGTCCTGCTCATTGCTAAAGAAAGTACACTGGAGGTATACATGAAGCTGAATACAGCATTTTGTGCAGCTAATAAAATCAGTGATTGCATGACTAAATTYCTCTGTGTCTATAGCAAAATAAGATGTTTCTCTTCAGCTTTACTGGCTAAGGCCACACAGCTTCAGCACATAGGCAGCAAGCATGCAGAGTCAGGTGGTCACCTCAGGATAGCCCTTGATGKACAACCTCAAAATATCCTCTGAAAACAAGTGGAAGGGCTCCTCAAGTCAAATAGTGCAGCAGATTTACTCCTGACACTCTCTGACCCTTGCCTGTGCCCTTCCCTGTGTCACTGGATTTCCTCCTTCCAAAGGGTGCAGGCTATTTTTCTCCCACATCTGCAATTGTCCCAGGAGTCTTCCCTTTAATCTYGCATACCTCAAACTGGTGTACAAGATTATTTTTCTGTTCTTCCCCTTCCATTCATCAAATCCTTTTTGTGCATCCACCACAGATGCAGCTTTTTGCAACAGGTGTTGCAGAAGGTTGGAGAAGGAAAAGAGATAAAGTGTTTATTTTGCTGCATTCCCAGCAAAAGGTCTAGCAACACCAAGTTCCAGAGCCCTTCAAATGAAAACATTTCTAAGATGAAAAAGTCTCCAGTTGGTTCCTATCCCATCTAGCTCTTAATTTTGCTATTCTAGATGTGATTGCTGCTTACTGAGCTCAGGGGGTGGGGAAGAAAGCAAGAAAAAAAAAAAGGCAGTCAATCCAAAATGTCTCAGGAGGAAAGGAATCGAGCAAGACTAAGGAAGCTCAGCAGTCATCCAACTGCCCAGCTTCTTGTAAAACCTTTATGAAAAGCCTGAATGAACCCCTCAAATGAATGGCCATTTTGTTCCTTTCACTTCTCCTTCTCTAGCATGGGACTCAATGTGCAGCTTGTGGATAGACAGATTCCACAATAAATTGAGGAGAGTAAAACTAAACCCTCTGGAGCTTGGCCAGCAGCAATGTCAAATCTCTTGACTGATTTCCCAGGGAATTCTTGCTCTAAATGTCAGGAGAACATAGCCCTGCAGCCAGCTCTGGACCAGACTGATACCAAGGCGTGACAAACCGAATGACCTAAGTAACAAGATTACACTGCAGGAAAATTAAAACTTTAGAAATGTGCAAAGATCACATTTCAGTAAGCGCTGTTTTATTTCAGATCCTTTTAGTTSACAAAGCTTAGTCCAAACTTACAGGACATAAATTGGTGAGAGGAGGGGATTTATTAGTGACAACAGACTGAAACTTTGATTCAGTCGGTAAAGAGTCTGAGAGTTTCTGTAAGTGCCCATGCTTTCTAAAAGGCTTACAGTCTCTTTTCAAATGCTCTCGTCAGTAGGAGCCAAGTAAGGTCAAGGGAATATAGACTCCCAGGAGTCTGCCCCACTTATGAAATTGGCAGCTAAATTGCTTCAACACTCAGAAAAATCCTTTTGGTGCCATTCCTCTGAGGGGCAGCAAGCCTCCCTTCCACCGTGAGCTACCTGCAAATCCTACTTGGACACATTCTGACATGGCTGGCAGGAACTTAAATAGTTTGGGGATTTTTTGGTCCTCTGTCAGCGGTAGCTGAAATTGGTCTGTGGGTTCCAAAACTATTGGAAAGGGCAGGAAAATGGAGAAAGAGAGAGAGAGAGAAAGCACGTTCGTGTAAGCCTCGTTGCTTTTGGAAATTGAAAATTTGAAGTGCTGAGAGATGAGCTGGGAGAGCTGAGCAACTTAAAAACAGCAGCATAAATGAGAACAACCCAGATGAAAGAAAAARAAAAAAAAGAAAGAAAGAGTGCTTCTAAATTATGTCAGTCTGTGGAGGAGCAGGGGGAAGCTCCTCTTTCTTTTCCCTGCTTTGGTCTCCTGTAGCAAATCTGTAAGGCAGAGCTGACCCAACTGCTTGAGATGAAGATCCATGAGAATCACCATAGAAATGAAAGGAACTCTGCCCACATTGCTATTCTGTAAGGTGACAGGATCTAGTCATGGGAGATTTTCTGCTCTCCTATCATTTAAGTTGGAATTAGCTGCTTGCATACTGCTTTCCAGCTTTGGTGATCTGTGCTTTCCTGTGTTACTCACCAACCCAAAATCCCAGATCCAGCCACTCCAGCTGTCTGGAAGTCCTTGTTCAGAACATGCAAGTGTCTTAGGAGTTGCATCTCATCATGGCTTACTTTCCTACAGAGATCTTTAATTCATGATGCCTTGAAAGAGACGCTCTGATGAAATGTTTGGTGAAGGAGAAGAAGCACAGTAAGATTGCCCTGCATCTTTATCTCCCTTCAGACATGGATCGAGCATTAACACCATTTTTAAATTTTTCATATATACACTCTTACAAGTTATTTCCTTAGCTGTGTTGAACACAACAGCGGGAGGAATATTTTGTCTTAGGGCAGAGGTCCACAATGAGCTAATCCTTTTTTTTTTTTTTTTTAATAAAGATGAAACCACATAAGCATAGTTTCTTTTGAAACTATGTGGTCCTAACTCCAAGTAATAACAAATTTATCCTTGGGAAAAAAAGAATGATCTGGGGCTGCTTTGCTGTCTTTTTAAGTGCCATCTAAGGGGATAGCTTGCTTGCCTTCTGTGCTTTCAAGAGAACATCATCTTCTTGCTTGAGCAGGGCTGGCAGGATGCAGTGTGCTCCAGGTTTGCACCTGAAGTGTTGCCTTTCCCTGCTCATGTGGCCACAGGGCTGGTGTCACCCTCCAGATCTCTCGCAGTCAGAACGGGAGCAGTGATAGAGGCTGTTAATGTTCTGGCTTCTCTGCTCTGCAGATCACAGAGATCACATATGTGATAACTACCAGAAAAACAAGGTAATCATTTGTTTCACTAAGTGAATTTTGTTGGTGATTATTGCTCCTTTGGGGCACCTCTGGAGTAGACTGTGACAGGTAGAAAAGAACAAGTGCATTGCCTGGGCGAGGCCATAAAAGCAACCTCTGCCCTGGTTTGAAACAGAAGAAATTTGGGGTTTGTACTTGAGCCCTTTCAGCCTTTTGACAGAGAAGAAGACAGTAAAGGTGTGCATGGCAGAAGTAGCCATGTGTCAAAGACTGAAATAATCAGATAATTCTTCAAATTAAATGCAGACGGGCAAAAATGTAACGCATTCAAGCAAGGAAAACTACAGGTGTTCAAAACAGAGCACTGCAAAAGAGCTTTTTATACTCTAATTCCTAGAATAGGGAGAGAAAAAGGAAACAGGAGGAAAAAACTTCCCACAGAGGAATATTCTTAATAAATCACTGTGAAGAACTCCTCTTGCCACCTAGACATTAACAAAAACATTTTGTGAGTATATGATGGAATTATGCACCAATATGATTCTGTTGTAATATGAAGTTTCTGGAGTTGTTGTAACRAGCTGTGAAATGGCATAAATTGCCAAATCAAATGTAACAAATGAGCAAATGACAGAGCAGAGCTGTAAAATGGTGACCATGTCACTTCTTGACTAAGTTCTTGTCATAAGCAAATGAAGCAAAGGCTGAAAACAAGAAAGGCAAACATCCAACAGTTGTTTTTATTTGTCACYGAATTGCAAATCTCTCTTGTAATACTTTGTTATATTATCCTTTATTGCATGGCTTTTAGGGAAGTGCATGGAAACACTTGACAGAAACACGTAATATGCACGCACAACTGTACTTTATGATCACCTTATATTTACCATGAACTCTAATTGGTAAGTATTTAACAGATGGATATGACTTCTTTATTACTGTGTGTGCAATTTTGTGTGGGGCATTCTGAACTGATAGTTATTTACATTACATTTGATTTTGCACCCACGTAAATAGTTACCCAGGGTCCAGAATCTCCTAGCAGAGGCTACAAGAGGGCTTTTGATCCRTGCCTCTCAAAGCAGTTCTTCAACTCTTATGCTATTTTCTAATGGTCAGAAAGGCTGTCCAGTAAAGCATCATCCATCTGCTGGTCAGGCTGGCTGGTCGTCATTCCTAGTTTTTATACTTTCTTGTTGCCATATGCATGCACGGTGGTAGATGGAGTTTCTCTGTGCATGCTCTTATAATTTGGCTTAAGAGTTGCACAGTGTGTCATTGAAGGTGTTTTGCTGTATAACTTATGCCTGCTCTCTTTATATTGCATTCAAGGTTCAAAGTCACCTGTAAAAGGATTGTCTAGAAACTTTGTTTCATTTTCATCCCTGCCTGCTTGAAGTGTCACCTAGGGTACATTCTCCAGCAAAATAATCTGGCCTGGAAACTTAGGTGTCTGCTTGCCATCTAAACCCTCATCCTTAAGGGTTGTTTTTAGGTAGAATCTTTTCCACTCTGTAGATTCGCAGGGTCCTTCCCAAGGTGGAAACGGTCTGAATTTCTCACCAGCATAACAACCTCATTCCAGCAAGCTTTCCTTCAGTGCAGTCTCATTGCAACATGTTTCTCAGTGACTTTCCACACTGGASAGAACTCTGTTGAACTCAGCAACTCCCAGCAAATTAAGCAACTTGCCTCATTTTTTTTTTCTCAGTGTACCCAGAGCCGCTCCAGCTCCAAGAAGCTGCCGGGCAGCAGAGCAGCTCCGGGCTCATCCCTGGGACAAGGCGCGCGGCGAGGCGGCAGCGGGGCCTCCGTCGAGCGCCCCCGATGTGGGGCAGCCCCCGCGCTGGGGGCGCCGCGGGCTCCCCCCGCGCCGCGCTCCCGCTGCCCACGCGCGCCCGCCGACCTCCCGCGTCCCGCCGCGCGTTCCCATGAGCGCGGGCGGGGAGCAGCGGGCGGCCCGGCGGCGCTGGCCCGTGGACCCCGCACCTCTGAGGACTGACAGGTAACGGCAGAGCCACCGGGAGCCCCCCCGGGCCCTCCCCCTCGCCCCGCCGCGCTGCGCCGCTCCGCGCCGCGCTGCGCGCCCCCGGCGAGGCATGAGCGACGCAGCGGCCGCGCCGCGCCGCGGGTGAGTGCGCGGCTCTGCGCGGGGCACGGGCGGCCCGGGGGGCTCTGCCGGGGGGTTTCCAGGCGGCGGGATGTGCGTGGGGGTCCCTGGCCGCGGATCCCCCCTGCGCGATCCCCCCTGCGCGATCCCCGCTCCGCGGAGCTGCCTCCGCTGCCGCGGGCAGCCCCGTCCTGCCCGTCGCGCCGGCAGCGCCGCAGCCTCTGGGGCGCCCCGCGGCTTTAACCTTGGGGTGCCAACGTAACCCAGGACCCGGGAGAGTGGGGGGCTGCGAGCACCCCGCTTCCCTGCACCTTGAGACTTCTCCGCGGGGTTGTGGTGCTGCGCCCGCCTCCCCCTTCCCAGCACCTCAACTCACGGCAACTCATTTCTTGCCAAATGCAAAAACTTTTTATCTTTTTTTTTTGTTGTTGTTTTTAAGCCCTTACATGCCAACTTGGGGAGGGAGGAAAAGCCATGGATCTTGTTGCAAGGCGAGAGGGATCCTGTTGTACCCTCGAGCTGTGACCRCCTGTGCCAGCGCAGGTCGGGGGCTCCCTGAGTTTGTTGCAGAGATGTCACCGTAAACAGTTGCGTCCCGCACGCAACTGCTCTGCGGCTGCCGGGTCGTGTGGAAGGGCTGGCCGGGAGCCCATGGCCAGCTGCTTCTCTCCGCTCGCTGTATTTATCAGAGTGATATTGGTCAGAAATGGAAGAAYTTACAAAGTGCCCTCTGACTTTTGTGCTGAAGCCCTTGCTGTTATTTATATGGTTACGGCGTAAAAGCCATAACCAAGCCTGCTGTCTTGCATTCTTATAGATACGCTGTGAATCTGAGTAAAAGACACTCCTCGCACCTAGATTACTTTATCTCTGGCAGCAATATGAGCCATAAAACCCACCTTGCATCCTGCTTGTCATTCTTCAGTGTAATCTTGTAGTCTATGCAAGAAATTTCTCAAGTGTGGCTGCATACGAAACTAATCGTGATTGTGACATGGAAGTACCTTTTTCTTTTTCCTTCTGTTGTGTATTTATCCMAGGGATAAAAATGTCATGTGTTATCAAACTCTTTTGAAACTACTACTTCCAAACTGCTTTGAAGTTGTTTTGTAACTTGAATGGCAGTTTTCATCTGTTAGAAAGTCACACTTCTGTTTCAGACCTGGCACAACCACCGTTGTTTCTCTGTCTCATTTCAAGCTGTTAAATCAGCTTWGCATTGAAAAAATATTGGACTTGGTTGATTTCAAAGTTGCTCACAGCCTTTAGAGTTGAGTTAGAACCTGGATGCAGGGCTCAAATGCTTTCACTGGCATGTTAAGCTTTCATTAGTAGTTGGGTGGGGTGTGATGGGGATGAAACTTGTGCATTTTTCAAGAAAAAGTTGCCTGTAGCTGCTGTATGCTTTGCTGCATCTTAGTCAGACTGTTTAAGAAAAACAATTAATTAATTACTTATTAAAAATAAATACTATATAGCTTACTATCCAAGTAAAGTGACATAGTATAGATTTATTGTTTTGACTTTCTGTTTCAGCTTTTCCATGCAGCATTAGCAGGATAGAAATGCAACATTATAAGCAGTTTCTTGTATTTGAATTATGCCTTAATAGGTGCATTTGGTTTACATGCATTTTCAAGACTGACAGAACTGACAGAACTGTCAGAACTGACAGAACATGATCTCAGCTGGACTAGCAATATTACATCTGCTTATACAGACTGTGAGGGGTGGGCTTTTCTTAGAAAGAGACATTAGCAACTCAGCAGAAAGTACGGTTTTCTGCTTTTTTACAATCTCTTTCCTGCACTTAAACCATGTTTCCCAGACTCTCCGCAGCTTGAAGGATGTGAACTGCCTTACTTTTGCACCCAATGCAAAATCTGTTTTCTATTTACCCCTACAAGATGGAGGAATGTAGTTAATTTGTAGAGCTTGATGTTTGCTGCATGTAGAAAGAGATGGTGGGACAAACTTGGACGAAGAGGTCAGGAGACTCTATACTCCTCCCTCTCTTCCATACTACCAATACCTGTAGTCCTTTCGTGTGCCCTCAGGGTGATAGGACATCCCAGAGAAGCCTGGAATATGGTACCTAGCCTTGGGCTGTGCTCAACAAAAGTAAGTGTGTAACTGCACCTACGCTCAACTACAGGGGAAAGGAGAAGCGAGTGCTGCAGTCCTAGTCTGGCCATCTAGGTCACTTTTCTGTGAATAGGAGGATGTAGCTCATCCCTGCATAAAAGACCGAATTAGGGCATGCCCTGGGACATGGAGGTCTTCCCAGTATGGACTGAGTTCCTGTCTCTTGCCCAGACAACTAACTTAAATTACTTAAATTGTTCCTGAGGAGGTAGCTGTAGGTTAGTGGCCGTGTCCAATTTATGCCTTTTGTTGGGTTAAAGTGCCATCTCCTATAGAGAACTGGGGAAGGTGGTGAATTTTGGTCCATTTGGAATGAGAAGTCTGGTCTAGATAGTTGGTCATTAACTGCCTGTTAGTATGAGATATTGCAAAAATGTCTTGCAGTTTGTTTTGAGGTTGACCTGAAAACAAAAGTCAATTTGAGGCTGACTTTTTTTTTTCCCCCTCCTGGTTTTAGTTCTTCTTTTGCAGAACTGCTCTTACTCAGATCTCTCAGGTCACTTCATGAACATTTTACAACAGCCATTTGTAGGAGATATAACACAATTTGTGCTCTCATCTGAGAGTCCAGAGAACTGAGACAGGGTTCTAGCGACCTATCCAAAATACACAGTAAATTAACATAAGAAATGAAACTGGAAAGTCACAGGATTAAATTGTCTTTCCCTAACTCTTTGCCACTGTTAAGAAATTCATAGGCCATTCCTCTTGCAATAGCTTAAAAAGGCTAGATATGCTTTTTATGCTTCTTTCTCATGTAAGTGGTATTAAATATGCATTGTAGCTCCATTACCCCACATAACTGAGCATTAAATTCTTCCATCCTTTGACATGAAATCCCACTCAAAATGTAGCAGCTCAATATTCTTTCTTTTGTGTTTTTTTTTTCTTTTTTTAGGTGTTGGGGGGTTGTTTTTAAAGAAGAATCTTGTTATCATTCCTTAGAAACTTATTAAAATGCTTCACTTTTGGCTTATTCTCCTAATTTATTAATATAGCAAATAAYTTTTCTTTGGTGACCCAATTTCATAGGTATCTGAGCATCTAGCAAAATTGTAGCTCATCAGAAAGGCAATGTAGACTAATAAATAGCCTCTTCAGACAGGGTGGAAAGCCATGACACTTCTTTCTTTGCCTCAGAGCTCTACCCACAGCAAACATTCAGTAAATATTTCTCAATTCCACTGCTTCTCCTTCATATTTAGCCAAAATAATCCCAAATATTTCTGATAACATAATTGATTAAAAAGGCAGAATTCAGGATTGCTTGCATTTTCCTCTATGAGTTCAATTCTCACACAGTGTCCACAGTGAAGAAACTATTCTCTGAATAAATATTAGTTGAAGCATTGGTTTGTATGAGAACTGATACAAACAGACTTTCTCCTACAAGATCCAGGCCAATGGATGAAATCTATGAAAATAGATTTTCATATTAGTGGGTCCCTAGATGTTTCAGCTGTGGAAATCAGAAAAACTATCATTGACTGCCAGGAAAAATGGGTTCTCCAGCTTCTATAGTTAATTGCAGTGTCCTGGTGCAGTGAGTGGTGGAGTGTCCTGACCGATTCTCCTCCTGAGTAGATTAAAGGTCTGACAAYAAAAAGAACGTTGCCAGGGACACACTTGATGCTCAAGGAAAAGAGTGAAGTTAAAGCTTCCCTACTGCATCCATATTAGCATTTAAATTCAGCTTAGTAGCATACTTTTGGAGTGTATTTCCTAGTCATTCCTGCTTACTATGCTAATACTCATCCAAAGTAAACCACATCAAAACACATAGAGAATCATCAAGGTTTGGCAGAGCTACTGCCTTTTACTGAACTATTGTACCTGCTTGGTTAAAAAGTACAGATTTGCTAAGGGAAAGATGATAAATGCTCAAGGATTTAATGAGCATGATGATTAACAGGTCACTGAAAGTAGTGGTGTTTTACAGASTCTAAGTCAGGCACTTCAGCTAGTATAGAAGAATACATTTTTTTTTTCCACACATACTTATTTCAAAAAAATAGCAGCTGCTTTGCCTGAACTGAAGTTCTAAACACAGACTTATCACAGGGGATGTTTTGTTGCCTCCATCCTACACTAAGAGCACCCTCTTGAGCACTGGTTTAACAGCTGGCTCTGGTAAAACAAATGTCCATAGTTCTGYTCTGAGGATGTTCATCACTGCTACCTTCCCTCTGATATCTGCCAGATAATACCTCCTAACAGCAAGGTATAATGCTTACCTGGTGATTTGACAAAGTTTTTCTTTCCTTTTCAGTAAGTGTGGACGTCTGTGCAAGTGTGAGAGCATCATGGTGGCCTTCAAAGGAGTCTGGACTCAGCCCTTCTGGAAAGCTGTCTCAGCAGAGTTTTTGGCCATGCTAATTTTTGTCCTCCTCAGTCTTGGCTCTACAATCAACTGGGGTGGATCTGAGAAGCCCCTGCCTGTCGACATGGTCCTTATCTCCCTCTGCTTTGGGCTCAGCATTGCGACCATGGTGCAGTGCTTCGGACACATCAGTGGAGGCCACATCAACCCTGCAGTGACTGTAGCGATGGTCTGCACAAGGAAGATCAGCCTTGCCAAGTCAGTCTTCTACATTTTGGCCCAGTGCCTGGGGGCCATCGTGGGAGCAGGCATCCTCTACCTTGTCACACCACCCGGTGTGGTGGGTGGCCTGGGAGTCACAATGGTAATCTTTTCTGCTCTTAGACTAGACCAATTTTTAAGATTAGACTAGTTCTTACAGTCTAAGTAATAATAAGCAGTGTCGTGAAGAATAAAGAGCACTCAAGCAGAGATTCAAGTAGCTTTTTGCTGGCTAATTTATGATACCTAGACATGGCTTAAAGCTCCCTTTAGGATGGGTTGATGTGGTGTAATATAGCCATTCTTTTTATAGAACTTTCCTTTTCTAGAACTTCCCCAGATCTGATGACAGAAGGTAATGCTAATTTGCATATACCACTTAAATAATATATGTGTGAAGTGCCATTTCCAATTGGATCGGGGAGGGGGAAATTAATTCTCTGCCATTATGATGGGGATTGAAAAAACATCAATTTAAAATGACACACTTTTGAAACAGATTGTGGCTTAGATTTCAGCTTTGTTCTAAACTAATAAGGAATGCCATCAGTTAGCCCTGTTGCAGGACTTATTAAAAATGCACTTGAGCCGCACACTGCTTAATTTTTAATTGAAATTTAAATTAATTAAGTCAGGGCTAATTAATGAATTTATAATTGAATAGTAAATTACAGTGCTTCCAAGAAAAAAATGGTGAAGAAGTGCAGCATTTGCAAATCCCTTTATAAAAAATAAACTATGCTTCTGCAGTTGAACTTTGAAGCTTTTGTTGGATGCTTCTGTCAAGAGTTCTTTTGTCCAGCAGTAATTTTCCATGGCACTCAAATAAAAYAAACCAAACCAACCAAACAAATGAAAGAATCTATACCTGTTCATTGATGCCTTTCACTGTGTACAATTCAAAATTATATTTACAGGGAGAAAAAATGGGAATTGGCTTTTTGATTTACAAGCTCATAGTTGCTTCATCTCCGGTGTTTCTTTCTCTTCTTTCAGGTACATGGAGATCTTTCCGCTGGCCATGGACTCCTGGTGGAGCTGATAATTACATTCCAGCTGGTTTTTACTATTTTTGCTAGCTGTGATTCAAAACGAAGTGATGTCACTGGTTCGGTAGCTTTAGCAATTGGATTATCTGTTGCTATTGGACATTTATTTGCTGTAAGTTAATGGCTTCTGTTTAAATAATAAAATCTTAATCCCTTTTTGCCTACTTCAAAAATAGGTGGAAACTTTTTATAGTTGAAGTTTCTTTATGGATCCAAGCAAAACATTTTAAAAAGCAGTGGGAGGGTTCCTTTGGATGGGATGTTGATTGGGACAACTACCTGTTTGCATCATGACTTTGTTACTTCTGTAGCAAATTCTTGAAGAGCAGCAATACATGCTGCTTGGATTAAAAAACGTTCAAAGCCGGAGTGTCCAGATGTGGCAATGAATTAACAGAAATTGCACAGCTGCTGTAGAGATATTAGTAATATATTTTTTCTTTTTTTTAGATCAATTACACTGGCGCTAGTATGAACCCTGCTCGATCATTTGGACCCGCTGTCATCATGGGGAAATGGGAAAACCAATGGGTAACTGCTTTCGTGTTTACTTCATCATAGCTGGCAGGATTTTTCATACATCATCTGCTTTTASTTATCCATTCTGGTATATCCCACAAAGACCGTCATGAGGAAGATGGACACTGACCTGCTAGAAGCTCTGCCACAATTATGCTTCTTGCTTAGGGTTTTAGTATTGCATGCAGGTTGGTGGGACAGCATCTTGCTATTCAAGGGTCTTTTTGTGGAGGTGGTAGTTAGAGGAGGAAGAAAATCATGCAAGAAGCCTGAAACATAAAAGCAATCCAGTGAGACTGAAAAAACTGAACTGCTACAATGAAGTGTCCTCTGAGGCAGACTGCGAACCCCCAGTCATGATGGTGAGAGGAATTCTGTTGGATTCACATTTCACTTGGTTCTACCTCAAATTGCAGCAAATGTGTGAAATGAAAGTGGGCACCTTGRTCTGCTGCAGGGAGAATCTTTCTCAGCAAATGCTCACAAGTGAAAGATGAAGGGTTTGCAGTCTGGCCTTTGTGAGACAGAATAGATTTTACCTGCAACCTGGCAAGCATCAGCCTAACTGAGACTATATGTGCAGGCAACTATTTGATATCTGGATCATGAATGATGCAGTCATTTTCTATATCATCCTATCATTAAACTCCTWAAAAAAACCCAAAAGTTTGTATTTTATAGGGACAGATGGATTGCATCTCAGCTTCACCTAATTAAAGATATGACAAGCACTTCTAGAGGCACTTATAGTTAGTCCTGAAAGAGCTGCATAGTAGAGTGCATATAAGAATTTTCTTAATTTTAAAATATTGAGCCCACATTGCTCCCACTGCAGCTAATAACAGAAATAGCATTGTCTTCAGGCCCTAAGGCTCCAATTCTGCAAATACAATATCATGTGTAACTTTGTTCCCAAGTGTTATCCTATTGAAACAGATTTACCCTGTTATCAGTGAATGGCTTGTTCATATGACAAACTGCTGTAGTTTTTCACAAGATTAATTACCCACACTCTCAGGCAGCCAGTAATTTATAACTAAAGCTGTAAACAATAAACAAATGCATCATGTAGCAACTTGTAGGAGATGCTTAACTGCTGTCCTGGTCATTTGGAAAGATTGTCTTTTCTCCTCCTTGAAAGTAATGACATTAACCTGCCATTAACAGAAGCTGATTTGGCTGCTGTGCCTCCTAACCTGCTTATAGACCTGCTACAGTTTGTTCAAAAATTAATAGGTACCCTACAAAGTTGAGTATATCTGTTGTATTTGGTTATTCAAATAATATAATCAGGTATCTGACTGCCACTTGGATTCTGCAAGATCAGAAGCCCAAGTTGGGTTCTTCTCAACTGTGAATCTCAAACACTGAAGGGGACCAGTTTGTTTATATGTTTTGAAAGATTGTGTTTCTTCACAATTTTATTATCCTCTTGGGTGAAAACACAGCAAGAAAACTAGTTTTCTGCATTGRCATTTATTTTTTTGTCACTCTGCAAGCAGCACAAATATGCTACAGCTGACAAATAAGCAGTCAAAATTTGTAGAGAAGTCCTCATGGAAAAAGACACATCAATAAAGCTCAGCAAAACTGTTTCTCTTTGAAGATAYGGACCTGTGTCTTTATCATCTTGCCTCCGATAGTGTAAAAGCAGAGCTATTCTACAGCAACTGTAACAGAGCTGTATATAACAAGTCATGTATGATGCAATAAGGATCTATAGCCTTTTTTTTGTCCCCAAGAACTTTTATAGCTATAGTTGAATCAATGAGAAATGATGAAGGACCTGTATTTTGTCTTATTGCACAAAGTTAAATACATTATATACCTCCAGAGAGAAGAGAAAAAAAATGCTTTATCTTAGTGGGAGGCCTGCATACCCATCCACATGGATAGTTTCATTGTTTTTCTATCAGTCTGCCCCAGTAAACCGGTTTCCAGATATGTGCATGGAAATCTTCAGACATCAGGAAAGGTCTAACCTCATACTCTGGGTTGTTGTGCTGTTATGGTATGCTGCTCAAACTGGAGTTTGAGAGGATGGGTAGCGTTTCTGGGGGGKTTGGGTTGTTGKKTTTTTTTGTTTGTTTTTAGGTTGGTTGGTTGATTTTTGTTTCTTTTTTGGGAGGAATACAAAAACACAGAAGCAGCCTGCAATATGAAAATAATGTCATTAACTCTTCAATTATTTGTTTTTTTGACCATTTTCTTGTTTCATTTTAGAGGTCTCATGAGTATTCAGCTCCAGGTCACCAGCTGTGAAAGCTAGGGTAGTTACACTGCCTTGTAAAYGGTGTGAGGGCAAATTCATTCTGCTTCATGATATGCAGGGAACACTGACTAGAGAAAGGAGAATTGGCTAAAACAACTTCACCAGGACTTTTTGCTAGAAGTGTTCTGAATTAAGTTTGTATAGATCTGTTTGTTTTTTTGTTTTTTTTTTTTTGAGAACCCAGAATTCTTTGTTCTGTAGCTTAATGCCTGTGATTTTTCCACCTCTCTTTGCAGGTGTATTGGGTAGGACCAATAATCGGAGCAGTCCTTGCTGGTGCTCTTTATGAATATGTCTATTGCCCAGATGTTGAACTCAAGCGCCGTTTTAAAGATGTCTTCGGCAAGGCCACCCAGCCATCCAAAGGGAAATACATGGAGGTGGATGATAACAGGAGCCATGTAGAGACCGATGACCTGATCCTGAAGCCTGGGGTTGTTCATGTGATTGATATTGACAGGGGTGAAGACAAGAAAGGGAGAGATCCATCCAGTGAGGTACTGTCTTCTGTATGACTAGCAAGGAGCACTGAAAACAGAGAGCGGCCTGCTAGCACATCCTCAGATGTCCTTCCACCTGTAAAAGAAACAGATCTTCTATAAACCGAGCATCTATTATTTCATAGTGCAGGCAGCAGCATTGCAGGGGCATCACCAAACTGTGATCTGATCACAAGGAACACTAGAATTTTGCCAGAATTAGGATTCCCCACACATTATTCCAAATTAAGAGATRTCCCTGTTCTTTTCCTCTCCTTCTTTATGGAACATCTCCAAAGTCAGAAAAAGAAAAAATCTCCTTTAATTAGTCCTAAGGAGATGAAGACAGAGATGTTTAACATCCAGATTGACAGTTAAGACATATCAGGAAATGCCTATAGACATAAAGACCTACTTATCAGATTGTTCTTCTGACACTTAATTGGCCGTTGTCAACTCTAATTAAAGCATCTTTCCTGTTAAAACTTCTTTGCTAGGTCCAGGGACAACATCAATGGTATTTAAGACTTTTACCCAAAGTCAAGCAAAGAAATGTTGCTTCCATCTATATACATCATTAATGTCATGAAAACTACCTCTGAAAAAAATAATTTATAGACTTTAAAAATCTATTAGTCCATCAAATCTCACTCATTTGGTTTTCAGTATACATACACCACTTTGATACCTTCCCAGAAGTAAATACATTGAAATCAAAAATTAAATCCTCTGTAATAAGGCTGCAAAGCACTTGACTGTTCTTCATACTAGCTTGTGTCACTGTCTTTCTGGTGAAACATTCTCCTGAGGTTTGACTATTGACTATTTAGTGCTAGCAGACTCTCAAGGTCATGCAAAGAATATGAAGGCTCTCCTGTTACTTAATAACTCAAGAGATATCAAAAGAAAAGAAGGCATATCTGTTTTCAGTGCACTTGTTCAAATACACACTTCTGTGCCAATTTATATAAACTAAAGGTTTAATTACTTATCTACTTTCTTACAAGATGGTTGGAGATATGATTTTTTTTAATTTATTAATAATGTAGAAGGTTTTTTAACTTCTGTTAACTGTATTGAAACACTGATTAGGAAATATTTTTGTAACAGATGATAGAAATGACAGCTTCTGGCTTTTTGTTGTAATTGATCTCTAGTTGAACAGGATCTGTGCTTGTTTCATTATTGCTATAGTCTTAATTACATCTCTGGCAAAGCTTTTTTCTTCTATAAGTAAGAAATACAAGCACTTGGTATGGTTTTTTTTTTTTTTTTTTTTTTTTAGGGTGAAAGGGAATAAAATATGTTTCTCTTCTAGAAGCATTTCACTAGACATAACCAATCCAAAAAAGCATTTCTATAAAGCTATTGCTGACTTTATTACAGGCTTTTGTTTCCGTCATTTGCTTTGAGTTTTACAGTATGCACCTGCAGAGCAGTTAAAAGCCTCATTATTACTGTAATTGTATAGATTTTATTTTAAAATGAAAACTTCTTCCTGTCTTCTTGGCAAGAAGGGGGAGAAAAAAGCATTGGGTCTGGCAATGGCCTGTAACAAACTTGCCTGCTCTTTGACATTTCTCCACATTCAATCTGTAATACAGGGAATTAGATGTTTCTAATGAGGAGSTAAAGCACTGCTTAACTTAAATCTGTGCGCTATGATCTAAGGCCAACATTGCTATCCAATCTAGTCATAGCATATCYTGTTATGTTCATTTTTCTGGTCTCCCTTTTCTTGCTTTGAAAGCACTGTTAGAGAGTTATACACGAGCTCTGTGGGTTGAGCGTGAGCTTCATGACTGCCAGGCGCGTCCAATTTGSCCGTGATTTCCTTCTTGCTCCCCGCAGCTCTGGCTCTAGTGGCCAAGCACAGCATGCGGCAGGTGTGGGCACAGGACAAGGCTTCCTTAAGAGGTCACATAGTGTGGGTCACATGGAAGTGTGGGAATGCACTTCCCTAAGTTACTCCACAGCACGCTGCCTCTGGGGATATGAGTCTGAACTTCCSAGAGCAACACATCATACCATCCATCTCCTCCAGCACATGAGCCATCCCACCAGTATCATCTCACACTTGCTGAGACATCGCAGTAGTGTCTACTCRTATTTTCTGATAAGATAGCTGAATATTTTTCTTCAGCTTTTACACCTGACACAGTGACAGCATCGGTAGGCCGTGAGCATGGTAGAGGCGAGGCTTTCAAGGCACTGCTTCAAACAGCACTTAAGAAGTGCTTCCTAGAGCATGGAGCAAGTATTCTCTGGGAAGGGCAACAAAATGTGGTTTTTAGATCACCTATTTGGCTCTTGGATGCATAAATTTCAGACTAAATACATTCAACAAGGAAGTATAAAATTTAAGTTTTCATTCTTTTCCATTAGGCGTTTGTTCTAACTTTTCTTTCTTTCAAATGCTGCATTTGTTAAAGGGACAACTTGATAAACCTTTTGCATGGCTTCAGTGGACAAAGTAGAGAGTAATGCATGTAACTCTGGTGGTTTGTTAAGAAGTTTTGCATTTTGCTGTTTAAAAACACTCTGCAGAAGCTCATAAAATGTGAATTTTGCATGACATTGTTTAAATAAGAAGTTGTGACTTGTTTTATGCTTAAGGTCCTTTTACACAAATAGTGTGAACAAGTAGCTTGATGCTACTGCTGAGGTGAGCATAATGCTAGTATAATATTAGCCAAGTGAAGAGACTCTTTTCTCTTTCTTCTTCACTAATGAATTGTGGCAAACTCTCAGAACCAGACCTAGGAGAACTCCTCACAGAAGGAGTATTAGAGATAAGGTACAGGCTCCTGAGCAAAGATCAGGGGAAAGAAGGGAAGCCAAAATAAACAGGACATTAGTCAGTAAAGGATGTTCTCTCTTGGCATAAGCAGGAAGGTAAGATATGGTAGGTCTACTCCTGCTCCCACTGAGGAGGACTCATGGAGAAGTTTCTTGATCCTGGGCTACTTCAGGACCTGATGGCTCCTCTCATAGATTTCACTGTGGTTTCTGAAAAAAATGGAGCCTTTGGGTGAGATGCTTAGTTTTAGAAGGAGATGCATTCAACTTGAGTTTTATGACCCACCCTAAAGTAAATTCTTAGTTGTAATTGTCATCACTGTAAGAAGTTCTACCCCACCACAAGAGATCACCATTAATGGAAGCAAATACCACACTTCAGCATGCCTCAGGTCTTGATTCAGCTTTAACCTGCAGGGCTACATTGTTGTCTAAGTAGTTTTGCAGTGGCATTGTCAACATGAAATTACATTTAATTAAATAATCGACCACTGTGACCTTCTTCATGGCCTGCAAGTACTCTTGCCTTAATATGATTTTAAAACATATGCTATAATACTGTTTGAGATGATAGATTTATGTTAAAAGGCCTTCAGCTAGTGCCGCAACTTGATGTCCTCCAAAAGTGTTCGTTGATTAAGGTGGGAAATGGTAACTGTCTTTGGTTTATGATGGACATCATAGTAAGCATGCCAGGCATGTTGTTGTSATAATTCTCTGGTCCTAAAATATGAAAGATGGATGAGCCCCTTTTTCCTCCATGAAGTCAAGACTGTTTCCAACATTATTTTTACATTCTAACAAATGAATGCAGAATTACGATATCTCAGATGCTGTAAGAATCTTGTTTTTTCCCCTCCTGAGAATTGAATTCCCCTCCTGAGTAGTTAGAATTTGGCTGATAAACCCCATATAGTCCACACAACCTCAAAAGAATTTATGTACCTCAGTGTAACCCACCTTTAAATTCCTTCCTTTCTCTTCTGAAGTTGGGTAATTAACTAAGATTCCTATGGCATCTGAGATACTGTAGTCCTTCTCCTTTAAAGTACTARGAGCTGTATCTTTCATTCATTCTGTGGAAGCAGGAGCAAGACACTGCATAGCACATACAGGGCTTAGGTTTCTCACCTGTGTTAGTACATGAGCTTTTAGAAACAAGTTTTATACCTGACTATTAATAGTTAAGCACAATAKCTGCTTAAAAGGCTAGATGGCCTTCAAATAAGACTTCTGTCTTTCTAGTAACTGGTTATAGAGCAGTTACTGTTGTGCTCTGCAGCGTTTTGTCTGTAGCCTATGCTAGCCCATATTAACAAAATGTTATACTTCATCCAATATTCATAATCTAAATAAAATATATGGGAATTTACATTGTGAGACTGTCTTTCCAAGGCGAGAGAAGGAAACATCAGACTTTTTCTTTTTGTATCTCAAACCTGTGTGTCTCTGAGTTTCTTGAGGACTTATCAAACAGACATGACGCAAATGTAAACCAAAATATTTGTTACCTAYTTCTATGACCTAAGCCAGAGTCATTCGGTCTCAGTAATTTAGGACAAATGAGGTAAAGTAGCCTAAATACATGGATGATTCTTTTTTTCACAAGACTACGTGTTGGAATGTTCAGTCAGCACAATACCAAAACTAATGTTACAGGTTTTAAAAATTCTTTATGTGATATTTGGACTAATTTACTGAAGAAAGTTATGAATTACTGCATGTTTATCTGATTTCCACTTGTATTCTACTGTATCTCACACATTTCTTGCAAATAAATTGTCTTCAAAAAAGAGAAAAAACTTCATTTGATCACTGAAAATATTTAGTCATGAGCTTTAGTATTTTAAAATATAAAGAAAAAAGAAGAAACAATTGGACAAATAGGCAAGAAGAGTCTGGATGTGTGTGTGGCTGAGAATGAACRATTTACTGTAAGAAAATATTTCTGTCAATGGAGAAATGAGTGGAAGTGATTCAATATMTTTATGAAAACAAGTGAAACCAACTAGAGCAAAAGCTATGCTGGTGTATGCTTGCCTTAGACTTTGCTAGACGATTTAAAACCAAGGCTCGTGGAGAGCTAAGAGATAACAAAATTGTTATCAATGTCCTTTTCAGAAACCATATAYGCACTTTGCTATAGCAGGTAGGTCCTTTGCAATACAATTCCTTTCATTAAGTCATGGATTTGAACACCCAGCTCCCATAAGGAACTTAGGCAAGTGAAATGAGGCCCTGTAGCAATTACTGTTCAGTTGCCTGGTTCTGTACTCAGGCTGCAGAACTTCCTAACTGCAACAACAAATTTGTGCTCCGTTTTTGTCCTGCAGACCTTATAGATTCTTTATGCAAAGTCTTTATGGGGGGCAGAGAGCATGGTCTATGAGTCCCCAGCCTGAAATCCCCTTATCTTGCAGAAGGCTTAAGGGTGTGTTTGGAAGTTGAGGATGTGTATCTTACTTTACATGTGCTCTGCGTGTACTGTACTAAAACAGGTTACCAAGGGAATTCAGGGAGAAGAGCATCACATCCTTTTCAATCATAGTCATTTAACACAGGAGCTGCTTTGACATTTTGGGACACTTGAAAAACAGCAATGTATGTGTCAGGAGAGTTAGAGAGTCAAGGTGCTTTGGTTATCTCCAGGGTTAGGACAKCTGGGAGAAGCAGGAAATCAACAGCATGAGCAAGGAAGAATGTTGTAGTGCAGCTCTGAGAGTGCTTGCTGGCACTGTGGTGTCACTTGCAGGACAAAAATGTCATCCCTGATGCATGTAGACCTGTAGGTCAGCTTGTAGGGATTGTGTCTGAGCCACTGTGTAGTGCAGAGGATAAGACACCAACACAACCTGATCTGAGTCAAGTCCCCACTACAAGTTTCAGTAGACACAGACTTTGACAGCAACCATTGCAGACAGTGATTGTGGCCCCATCCTTTGCTTAAAAAGAAAACTTATAGACACTCCCATTAGCAGCTTCCTTACAACTCTCCTTTAAACACCTTTATCTGCTCCAGATTGTGCTGTGCTGCAGACTTCATAAGGTGCTTTATTTATATCAGATTGATAACTGTTATCTTGGCCATTAAAGTCTTCTGACCTTTGTTTCCCCATTAGAAAAGCAATCCTTATGAGTACAAAGGCTGCGAAATAATCTGGCTGAAAAAAAACCCTATCACAAGGTTCTTTTGAAAGAAGAAAGGAGCTTATACTATTTGGCTCTCACCTTGCTACATACAACAGAGAGGCACAAGCTTTCCACCAGGCTCACTGGTTAAGCATGGCAAATAGCAAACCCAAATTATTTTCTACATTCATACATARAAACTGCCCTCATATGGTGTTTCATCTCTGCCTCCTTTTCTCCTTAGAAAATGCTGAATTTCAGTGTCTGAAAGTTTGCATTAGGAGACTGTCWCTGTTTGAAGGAGTAAGCGCACACGCATGTGTGGCTTTGTACAGTCCCAGCAATGGACAAGATTCATGGGGGAAACTGGGAGATCAGTCACCATCTGAGACTGTTACAGGTTTCACTGGGATGCTAATGATGCAGTCATTTATTTTCACTTATTTTCTGAATCGTATGACTTTTAGCTTGAAGAGGGATCTTGGTTGTTACCTTACCACCACCAAAGASTCATTTGGGTTCTGCTGCTCTTCCTCTCAAAGATGATTTATGATTAGCCTTTTTTTCCCCATGTCTGCACAATTTAAAAATTGGTTACTTTACACATTTTGGAACCTTCTGGCATTGTAAATATTCTGCTGCTGTCTCATTCTGCTTTATGATTAGCCCCACGTATTCTGTGGGAATTGCTCCTTTGCTTTGGAACAGCATAGCTTAGGGCACTGCAGATTGTTTTCTTTTTTTCTCAGAAAAAAATCCTTTGATAATTCCACTGATATCAGCACAGTTTTGTTCCACTGCTTAAACTATCCTCATCTTCCTGGTATCCCAGTGCCTACCTGAAGATAGCTGATCCTGCCTTCTGACCAAATATATTTTGTTTATTTTGTTTTATTTCCTGCTTTGCTGACAAAATGATCTTATCAGAACTGGAGTGAGAGGTTTTAGTATTTAGAGCCTCYTTCTCCAGGCTTCTTCAACTAGCTGCTGCTGCTTCAGATTTGGAGCACTTTTCTCTAGTCAGCAGCAGATTTGCCCCCTGAGGAGAGCTTCTCATCAACCTCAGCTTGCCAGATCTGTAGAGTACATTAGAGATGGGAAGCTAAATCCTTCCTTAGCATTGCTAGAGAGATGAAGTCAGTTTGCACCAGCTGAACCCAGTCTTAGAGAATTGGAACAGTGTCCACAGTGTCCCAGCAAGGAAGAAAGTGATTTTGAAAAGAATGGATTTGGGCTTGTAGCAAGTCCTTGGGCTCCAATTTGAAAGAAAAACATCAATAGGAAAACTGGAACAATGGTGGATTGACTCTGTAAGTATTGAACATATGCACATGAATATCCACTAAGAAAAAGCCTAATGCTTTCTGATTAAACATGACAGAGTGGGTACAAAATGAACTCAAGAGATCAGGAAGATGAACATGGATGTCGGACTCTGCTGCTGTTTGCCCACAGGTATCGCTCCAGAGAAACAGCTGCACAGCATCTCCTCAGAGCTGAGTCAGACCAGCTGTACAGGGTAGGCTGCACACAAACACTAATGTTTCAGACACAAGCCTTTTCTGCTTTTTTCCCCCTCCTTTCGCAGCTGTCCAGCAGAGTTCACATTTACTGGAGGCAAATATAGCTTGGGCATAAATGCAAAATCTTCTGTAGCCTCAAGACTAAAATGTGAGAATAAAGCTTTGTGTCCTCTAACCTTTTAGCTTTGAAAAAGCCCAGCAAATGCCATGCAAAAGAGGAGGTAAAAAAGTCCTCCTGGATCCTCTGCATCTGAGACATTCCTAGAGCTATCCTTAGAGATGCACTCCATAGGTTAATTTATCACTGTGTAAATAAAATATCCCCAACTGCTTTCACAACTAGCCTTCCTGAGCTAGAATAAATCTCTCTTATATGAGTATAGCTGAAGAGCATCTGGAGTTTATATATAGAAACTATTGCTGTTGTGTCTGAGTGGTGAGGAAAAGGTCAAAGCAAACTGATTTTTTTCTCTCTCCAGTTCAGAAAAGTACTGTCTGTCTATTGGGWTTTGTGTTGTATTTGGTCTTTTTTCTCCTTAAAGATCTGTGTTCCTGTCAGGATTTCCTAATTTTATTTTATCTTTCACATAAGTTGAATCCTCACTTTGTAGAATTAAGTACAACTGTTTACTTTCTCATCCAGCAGAGTCCTTCACCATCATTTTTAATGGTCAAAAATTGTGACCATGTACTAAAGTTTTAGATTGTTGTAATGTAGTATTCAATGGCATCCTCTATCACAGGTTCCCATTTGTCTGTATTTTCCATATAGAAAGTTCTCCCTTCAAGGGTTTGGAATTCCCTGAGAAYTGCTGAGGTTTTTATACAATGAAGCTGCAAACATCTGAACTTCTGATTCAGAACTTGATTTTACTTTAGCAGCTCTCTTCCATATCAAAACAAACATAGTTTCTGTGAACTTTGTTTTAAGATGAACTTCTTTTTTTACTTTAAGATCTTCCTTGCTTTATATTCCTTTTTGCATCATCTTATTTAATTATTTAAAATTTATTCTTAAAACCTGCATGTTTGATACAATTGCCTTTATAAATAATATTTGTATTTCTTATATTCATTTCTAATTTTTTGATATTGGCTGGGTCTGAGGGGCCAAAATTTTGAGAATAACATAAATATTTTCTAAAAGGGGAGAAATTCTATTCCAGCAGTTGTATAYGACATAGCTGAAGTCTTGGATACTGCAAAGTGACTGAAAACTGTTATGTTATGTTGTATGTGTTATGCCAACACAAACAATAATTATCAGTCAAACATCACTTAAAGATTTTGACTCTAAGTAGAAAATGTATAATGCTAATAATATGAAGTGAAGACGTAGATACTGATTTTCAGCTTTGCACTCAGAGGATGGGAATTCCCCATCATATCCTTCAGGATATGCTCCCAGTTTATATGTCATCTACAAAAAAATGCCTTGTGCAATTTGGTGCTGAATCAGCTCAGAGGAAATATCTGTGTAATCATCTGAGGATTTCTTTGTCAACATCAGGCCCTCTGATACTGTCTCTTCAGCGCATCACCATGGGCAAACGACCAAGCACAGGAGGGTTGTTACATGCCTGAGTTCACCCGTGGCTTTAATATAATAACAAAAATTTAGATACATGGCCAGGCATGGCCAGAGTCACCAAGGAGGCAAGCTGAGGCCAGGCAGAGCTCCCAGATGAGCTTCTGGGAAATAAAGAAACATGTGGTGCTGCTCAGGACTGCTCCCCAGATAGCTCACATAGAGCCGGGCAAACACAGCAATAAAGTTCTCAGCTCCACAGAGTAGAAGAGTCTAAATGATTTTTTTCCACTTCTCACCTGTAAATCCTGTATCATTCCATAGCTAAAACAGCTTTCTAGTACTAAATTCTGCATTC